GATTTCAAAATCTGGAGCTGAAGAGGAAAACCACCATGTTACAGAACGTATCTTTCCTAAGCTAGCTTGGGAAGCCATGCAATAGCTGCTTTTTTTTTTTTTTCTGTTTAGGTTATTCCATCTATTTTTCCCTGAAGTTCACTCTCAGTTTAAACATATTTAATGTTTGGAAGTTGAACTGATATATCGTAGTCCAGAGGGGCAAGACAAACACAGGTCAGTTATGGCCTGTGATAACTAACATTTTTTTTTCTGTCTATATGTAACTGGTCTGGCATTGAAATTCCTCACATAATGGGAACAGCAGCACTAATTTTTGGTGATAGACTTCAAAGATATAAGCATATAACTTGCATAAATGCCACAATCAATATTCCTTTGAAAGGTCACTTTGTGTACTGAATAATATTTATAGGCATGTGTACATAATTTAACGGTTTTGGTAAGGGCACTTCAGAAGAATAATTCAAAGGACAGAAGGTGATATCTTACTGTGAGAGACTTAAAAAGCTTGATTTTGGTTTATAATTGCTCACACAGGGAGAAAATAACAAGTACTAAATTACTCTAATCTAGTAGTGAAAAAAAGTAACAGCTGATGCTGAGTAAAAACCCTGCACTCTTAAACAGAAAATTAGGCTCAAATGAGAGTGATTAACCACAGCAGCAAGCTACATGAAAAGAATGGGCTTCTCTTTGTTTTCCTGTGTAGCAGCTGGATTGGATGATCTCAGAACTGTGTCTGAGCTTGAGAGTCATGGATCAATGATTATTGTATAATAATTCTAACTTAATTTCTTTAACTGTTTTTCAGACTAATATGTGAGAGTTAAGATAATCAAAATTCCTTTTATTTACAGGGGCTAATTCTCCATTTCTATCTATGTTATTTATGTACTGCGCATCCTACTGTCTTTGAAAAGTGAAAAGGAGATCAGTCGGTATTTACTGGTACTGACACATCAACACAACTCCTGTTCCTTGTGCAAGCTGCACCTCGAAATTCTGGGTATTGCTGTGATAAACTCACAAATTACACTTTTTACATTACACTATCTACTTTTTGAATTAACAGAAGGCTCTTAATTTTGTTAAAGAAATATGCTGGATTATTTAGTTCTGACTTATGTATGTTCATCTCAGATGACAAACTTGACTGCCCAGGCTTCCCTTATCATCGACCAAGAGAAACAATCGCAAAGGATAAATCAACTTTTTGAGAGAGAAATGGATTGAGCTTAGGGGACTGACTCACGCTCTGAAAACACCTGGCTCTTCCCCCTTGACTCATGTGGGTGATTAAACTTATCTGGTTGTTTAAACCTTAGATGTCTGAACTAAAGAATGATGAATCTCACTCATATTTCTGTTCCGAAACCACCTTTGTTGATACCTTTAAAACAACAGCAAGGAGCAAAGAAAGGCAGACTCTTTTTTGATGGCTTCTGCTCCAAATATTTCTCTATCAACCTTCTTAGTTTATCCATTGATCAGGAGGTTTTCACGCTCAGTATTTGTTTCCAGAGCCTTCTGTTAAGCACAGCCACATGCTGTTGGTTGTAAGCATCTTAAATCTCAGGATTGGGTAGAATATTGGCTGAGAGGACTTTCACAAGAGGGAATTTCCCTTCTAATTCAGGATATTCTCTGAATCTGTATTCTTGGGGCTATCCTGTGCAGAGACTAGAGTTAGACTTTGGGGATCCTTGTAATTCTCTTCCAGCTCTGAATATTCAATGATTCTATACATTTATGGTTATGCTGTAAATGTTAGTTGCTGTTTAAGAGAAAGCTTTAAATTCTGAAGGAAAGCCTAGAGACCAGAAGAAACAGGTGAATTTCTGTGCATAAATACTTACAACAATGTGAAGTAAAAGTTTTCCTCTTTCAGTCTAGTGTTTGAAGTATTAGTATCCAGTCCACACTAATAACCATTAGATGTTACACAGAAGGAAAATAAAAACCTCCAGTGTACTTCTTCAGTTATCCAGAGCAGTTTAAATAACATTATCTATCATTTGGAATATGTGCAGGATATCTTTTAACTAAGAAAGAGAAAATATGCAGCACTTCTGCTAATGAAAATCTAAGACTTTATGCCTCTGTGGCTCATAACACTTAAGGAATTCACTAACTTTCAAACACTGTTCTGTAAAGGAAGTGGTGATGCAGGTAGATAACTTTTGCACTATACAGAAAAAGAACTAAAGCAAGCCTGAAGTTTAGCATTGGTGAAATATTCCTTGGAAGTTGAAATTTTCCCAGAAAAACATGGGTTTGCAGAAAAAAAGGATTGGGAACAGAGTTACTGTTTAATTTTAAAACAACTTATTTCAAAATTTCTTTTTACAAAATGTATCTTTTTAAAGGATGACTTGCTTTCAGGACAGTGTACTTGTCTGCATTTACCCAACACCCAAATGAAGGTACTTGAGAGGAACCCAAATTGACACAGGTACCTCCTTCTTCCACTTTTGTAAAAAAAATGCATGACAAGGAGTTTAAAAATACTGTGCATATTTTCTTGCTGTTACTATTTCTTCTCAGATCCATCAAGGTAAAAAAAGGATGTTTGCATATCTCTACTTCTCCCACAGCCAGCAGGCCTTAGGACTATTACAACTTTTATTCAATAGTTTGGAAGCATCGCTGTCTATTGAGGTTTATGTGTTTCAGGTGTGTCAGACCCAGATGATGTGACCCTAATTCTGGCCAGTAGATGTGCTAGGCTCCTTTGTAGGCAGTTGTGGCAGAACTGAGCCATTGAAGCCGTCGAGAGGGAAGGAGCAGTGTGCCAGGTGTGATTTGGCTACCCTGGCAAACATCAGGAACTCTGCTCCTAGGGTAAGAGCCCCATTGGGTTGCCTCAGGTTATCTCACACTTCCTTATTGACTCAGGGAAATGGCTTTTGAAATAATTGCAGTTGTTAATAGAGTTAAAAAAATAATTTAATAATGAATAAACACACTAAATAGGAAGCTGGTGCTCCCTGCTCTGGCTTCTGCACTGTGCAAACACAGACTTTAAGTGGGCTGATTAGAAATAAGTTCACAGTGATCAGCATATGACAACAGGAAAGAGTTTATTTCCTTATCCTGCTTCACCACCAGTCCTGTTATTGTCCTTCACTGCTGAAACCTTGTTCTGCTCATTCCAGTGAAGGACTGTGTAAGTGGAAATACTGTTAATCAGATGGTGCTTGAGGAACAGTGCTACAGATTAATTATCCCTGCAGATCTTTTGTTCTACTACAGGTACATCTAGAGAACAAGGCAGATTTTTCATTATATATGCAGGCAATTATTTTTCAAGGAGCTTCTCAGTATTAAGGCATCAGAATATCTAGCAGACTGCAATATATTATTTATTTTCTTCTCAGCTCCTACTGAGTATTTCAGGTCTAGTGAGCAGAACACAACTCTGCATTAGTACATGCATTTGTGAATGTCTTTTTACTATTATCTCCATGTAAGAGGCATTAAAATTTAAAAAGCCCCAAATTAAAAAAACTTTAGTTTAGAATATGCCTCATGATGTATTGGTATCTTTCAAAAGAAAAATCAGAATTTTAACTCCCTGGCCACACTATATTTAGTTAGAATGAAGACAAGCTGGAAAAAATTACAGCTTTGATTTAGACAGCTAATCATCAGAGCACAAGCCACTGACCTTTAGGCAAAGTTTAAAAATTGGTAATAAGGTACATATTTACAAATCAGGGGTGAAAGGAATAGAGATCTTGAAAAAAAAAAAGAGAAGAAAAGTAGAACAAAAGCTCTGAGAAAGGATGTGATCAAATCAAATGCAATTAGAAAAAAAATGCAAATGGAGTGACTACAACCAAATGGACTGAGACAAAATGAGGAGCAGTGAAAGGATCAAAACTTGCCAGAATTATTCTTACTGAATTCCCAAAATCAGCCAAAAAAGGTACACAAAAAGACAGGAGTAGTAATGGAAGAAATTAAATGCTCAAAAACTATGAGAAAAAATTCTGAAAAAAGAAACAAGAGTGAATGAGATTACATGAAATGCACAGAAATGGCCCAAACCTTGCCCAATTGATCTCCATTGAAATCACAAGATTTCATTTCCTTTCCTGCCCATTAAGCCACTCTTTTAGTCTTCTTCCTAACTGGTCAGGGAAGAAAATATAATGAAAGGCTCATTTGTGTGTGGAGATGTGGGTAGGGAGTGATCACTCAGCAATCACCATCAGAGTGTTAATTGAGGTTGATAAGCATTGCTTACCACGGAAATTTCCATATTGATAGTTTGAATGCCTCATTTGTTTGAGTTGTTGGACCCCATGTCCATATACAGTGAATGGGAAGAGCAGAACTGACTCACAAATTGCTGGAAATGCTTGGGGTTTTTTGGGTACAGATCAGGTCCCCAGTGGGACTTGACAGCATCTTTTCAGCTGTGTCTCCATCCTTCACTTAAACCTTAAGTGGATTTTAAGGATATTTTTTTCACTGGTGGTCAGGCACTGGAACAGGCCGTGCAGACAAGCGATGGAATCCCTGCCCTCGGAAGTGTTCAGAAAATGTCAGGGTGCTGCTTGGGGGTATGTTTGTTTCTGGACCTGGCAGTGCTGGGTTAACGTTTGGCCCCAATTTTCTGACCTTTATGTTTGAATGATCCTTTCTCTCCTGACCAGGCCTGCAGGTTGGCTGCAGTGTGCCACAGTCCCACCAGCCAGGCTGCTCAGGCAGAGGCTCCTTGTGCAAAACAGCTCTGATGACTTATCAGATCACCTCCCCTCCTCCTGCTCAGAGCAGTGATTTGTGAGCCCCACAAGAACTGCCTCAGTGTTCCTTCTCTGGGTGCCTTTTACATTTTCCAATGCTTTAATTAGGTGTAGCACAATTGTTTTATGGGTAAATCCATTCCCACCTCCTAAGCCTCTTAGATATCCAGCAAGAGTGTTAATTTTCACCCTGAACTTCCCTCTTTAAGAAATGAGTAAACCACATTGATGAACATCTCATATTCATCCAGAGCCAGCTATTTATTATCTCATTTCAGTTTCCTGTCGACTCAGTAGGTGGTACAGCTTTTGATTCATATTTGGATTGCTGCCTTTCCATTTTTTCGGGGAGTTTTTTTCTGTATTTTTTCTTCCTTTTTTCTTTTCCTTTTTTCCCCCACCCCCTTTTGAAAGCAGCTAAAGTTACTGGCACCAGCAAACTCTGCCTGTAACTAAGATTGCTTGTGAATGAACTTGTATCTGCTGTTGTGACATCAGAACATCACTTGCAGCAGCAGCAGCAGCAGCAGCAGAGCAAAGGGCCTTGTGAGGTGGTGGTTGCCAGGCTTCAAATAAGATATCAGACTTCAGACTTTGCCACAGAGGAGTGTTTAAAGGCCCTGTGCTACAGGAAGCCTAATTTCCATCTCTGTCCCGAAAATCTGAAAGGGTAATGACTGCACAATTTGTCTAGCGAAGTTCCTGGTGCTGCTGTGCTTTCACGTGCAATTTTTCCTTTCCTGTCAAGTTCCTGTGTGGCATCACTATGTGTTATTACACAGCTGCTTCTCTTTACCCCAGAGAGAGTGGCATTTCAGCAGAAGACAAAGCAATTGCTGTTCTTCAAGCATGTGAAATTCCCTGGGAGTAAAGAGCTCCCAATCTTCTGCCTTATTTGACTTTAAAATCTTTTTCAAACATCTGCAGACTTAAAATCCGATATTGGTAAGGATGCATCCTTAAATTATTATATCCTTGCAGATAACTACTTCTTTTCACCTCCCCCCACACAGAGAAGAAACAGAACAGACTTTCAGACTTACTAAATCAGACAAAATAGTTGTAATTAAATATCAGTGTACTAGAGGTCATTTGTGTTTGAAACTAAAAAAATAGCCTTAAAATCCTACCAGATGTGCTCCTTCTGCCTGTTCTTGGGATGAGTTATATTTAATTTAAGTCTGTGTTTATTCCTACTGTAGTTTTTCAGCTGACTTCCTCCATTTATACCAGAAGATCTGACATAAGTGTTTTGGTAAAATTAGATAATAAGTAAACAATCTATTATGCAAAAAATATGTTAAAAAACCAACCAAGCAATGAACCAACGAAACAAACAAACCACAAAATACATCCATACAAAAAAAAAAAGTATCTGTTTTTCTTTTAGGTAGGAAGATGTATCATCTTGGCAATTTCACATAACACAGAATGAGGACTGTAAAGTGACCCCGACACAGCTCGTTCAGATTAGCCACGTGTGGTGTGCAGGCTCCTTCCTGTCACAGAGAAAAGTCTGGTCATGAGCTGTTTCTAGTTTTCAGGATTAGCCAAGCCAGGCTTAGAAATAGCTCCTGCAAAATTCAAGGATGCTAATTTTTCCAAACCCTCAGGATTAGTCTTTATGTACAGCTCACCTAAAAGTAGTCTTCACACAAAGATTCTTTGTGCATATATGAAATTCACTTTCCTGCTGTGCAGGCTACATAGCTTGCCTTCATTTTAGCAACTTTACCTTTTTTAAAGTAGAGGGTTGAAAGAATTTCCACAATGTAGAATAAGAATTTGACATGGTAGAAGAGTTGTATCTCATGAATGGGACAAGTCATGGTCACGACTGGGTTGGATGATGAGTTGGAGTGCTTCCCTAAATGATGGATATCAGATAAAAAATCAAAATGAAGCAAAGACATACATTTAAATAGGTTAATTAAAAGTAATTCAGTTTTGTATGAGATTCTCTGATTCATAGAATGATAAAATTGTTTGGATTGAAAGGTACTTTAAAGACCATCTCATTCCAACCCCCTGCCATGGCCAGGGACACCTTCCACTGGAACAGGTTGCTCTGAGCCCCATCCACCCTGGCCTTGGACACTTCCAGGGATGGGGCAGCCGCAGCTTCTCAGGGCAAAAGAGCTGGACAGGCTGTAAGAAGTGCTGAAAGGAGGCAGGACTTTCCCATGTAGTCACCTAACAAAGTTTCTTTTGGTTCTGGTTCACAATGGTGGATTCTCAAACCTCAGTTTCATATCTGGAAATCAGCTGCTAAAGCTCAGTGAGGTGGTGCCTGGCTTGGACACTGACCTTGGCTTTGGGTATTTTAGCTGGGCAGATTTAACAGTGACAAGCAAAGCCAATTGCTTTTATCCCTCAGCACTCCCATCCTATTTCCCACCTCTCATATTATGTATGTTGCTCTGGGACGTGCTAATGAATGTGTATTCCTTCAATATATACAGAGAAACATATCCTGCATTTATTTTCTCTGTAACAAAAGTTGAAAAGGTCATTCTTACTCCCATTTGAACCAACAGTATAATTGCAGTTTGCTCATTAACAACTGTAACAAGCAAACTGGAGGGAAGGGCCACACCAAGTGGAGCACAGAATACCTCGATTTGATGCCCTTTTTCTTTGTATTTTATGAATGTAAGGAAATCCTTCTGGAAATTATAAGTAGTAATCTCATAACAGTAACTTGTACTGCAAGAAATTATCAAGCCTTAGCTAAATTACTGTGCTATGATTGCACTGAATGCAGCACAAGGAATCCCAGTCCTGGTGCTTGTATTCATTCAGCAGAATAGGTTCAAAAAGTATTTTCCCCCCTCAAAAAAAATGCAAATTTAACAATTATTTCCAAAGCTGCATAAAAGGATCTCAAACCTTGTTTAAAACACCTCAGAAGATATTGCCTGCCCTTCCTTTCCTTCTGTTAATATTTGCTTTTTCCAGCTCTTAACAATATTATTTCCAGGGTATCATCACTGATTTTAAGGTTGATTTTTTTAGTCTCTAGCTTCCAGCTCTTGTTAACAATGCCAAAATAAATACTAGGGTGTTTGCATGCAATCCTGTAGAGTGAATTAGCCCAGACCTGATACCAAGTATTTTTATTTTACACTAGAAAAGTGTAGGTGATGAGAATATTACATTCTGTTTGAATAGGAGATGCACGTCTAGAAGGTGACATGGTAATATCTTTTCTAAAATTTCATAGCATGTCACTTCACAAGTGCCAGAACTGACACAGCAGAGAAGGTCTGAGGAAGTCAAGTAGAATCTGTCCCCTCCACAGGGAGGATAGCTATTAAGAGAATAAACTGTTGGGATAATACATAGGAAGTCTTCAGGGGGGGAAAAAAACCAAACAAGGTCAAAACCTCCAAACAAAAAGCTATCAAAAACCAGAGGGTGATATTCAGATAAAAGATGTCTTGGAGTGTAAAATTCCCTGCCCTGTTCATTAACCAGCACGTTCACAGAGCTGCCTGTGCAGACAGATGCAAATGCTGTGCTCCATCACAGAGAACAGCACGGGGAAAGAGGGAGCAGCTCCACTGCTCTGGTGGGACTGGGAGCTCTGCTTAGCAAAGCCAGAGCTTTTGGGCCTTTTAATAAAATGACAGTAATTTGATAGTGATAAACATTAGGCTGTCACCGTAACGTAGCAGTTTGCAAATAATGTTGACGTTAGCTTATGCTTCATGTCAGGATGTGGGGCTGCTTCATCAGCTGATTAATAGGAAAATTGGATTAAATTCTTTAAATCTGACAAAAGGAGCTTGGATTGCAATAGGAATAAATTTTGTTTTCACCTGTTCCTTTTAAGCCCTGGTAGTGCTCTTTCATCTTCTTTTTTTGTTTAGGGTTTTTATTCTTTGTATTTTTTTCCCTTTTTCCTCATTCTGAGCATTTGTGCAAAGCTGTGACAAGTTCTACATAAATGATAAAGTTGTCTAAACTACTGGAAGTACCATTTAGAGAGGTTCTGGAGCCAGTTTTTTCTATAAATACACAGTTATGAAATAGGGAATTTTAGTTTTTGTAGTGAGGTGTTTTTTTGTGGGGTGGGTTGTTTGGGTGGTTTGTTGGTAGGTTGGTTGGATTTTGTTGGTTGGTTTCTGTGGTTTGCATTTTTGTTAAAGTGTTTTCATCATTTACTTCTGTCTCCCTGCTGTCACAGATTGCTGTTGTTCCTACATAGTAGTGCTCTAATAGAAATGATGATCAACCTTCCAGAATTCATTTTAAAACTGAGGAAGTTATGGGCACAGAAATTTGCTAATGCCATGCCAGGGATTCCCTTTGTCATTGCAACCCACCATTGTGAGCCAGGTAATCTGTCATACTACAGCCCTCCCAACCACATTTTTCCAAATCTTAAACTTATCTTTGATGATTTCCTAGAAATGCATCTGACTCTAACTGGCAGGAACCAGGAAGATTTGAATATTGCTTTCATTTTATAAATGTGTGTACAATTCAAATACATTTCTTGGCACTGAAGATGAGGGTCAGGAGTAGGCTACTGGACATTTATACAGATGCCAGACAAATTCATCAATTGTCTTCTTTTCAGAAGGCAAAATATCACCACATAGTATCGCCCTTCAGAGGTGTTTGAGCTTTGTGCTGGAAGCACATCTGGCTCATGCTGGTTGCTGTGTGCTGAGTGTGGAGAATGATGGATATTCCCACCTGTCCATTCTCCCACAAATGAAGTATCCAGCCCCAGCGTGCCTATTTCATGGGCTGAGCGGGGGTTCAGGTTAAATGGGACCCCAGGAGACCATTGAAACTTCCTGCTCTAAACAAGGTCAGCCATGGGACCCTGTAACATGGCTCTGTTTGATTCATTTGGGACTTGAAAAGCTCTAAAGGTGAGAAGGCACAATGGGGCTGGGCTCCACTGTCTGGCCATCCTCACAGGGAAAACACCTCTTTCTGTTCAGTGTGAGACTCTGATACCCTCCCACCACACAGCACTGGGAAAAGCCTGGCTCCATTGTCTTGAGGACCTTCCATGGGAGCTGCTGTGAGGTCCCCCAAGGCCACCTCCTCTCCATGCTGGACACTGCCCATCCCTCAGCCTCTCCTCAGGGGCATTCCAGTCCTGATCACCTCAGAGTCCTCCTCAGGACTGGTGATATATTTTCTGTATTGATTCTGTATTTAACTCTTAATTAAGTAGTTGAAATACGAATTAATCACTTAAACCCCTGTAGACCTGGTACCAAGTGCTCAGACCTGTTCTGTGAATGTTGATAACCTGCCCTTTCCATCTCTGAATCTCATGGGCAAGAGGACAGGATTATCTTTCTTTCAGGATGAGAGATTCAAACATATTACCCAAGTTGGACAGAGGTGTTTTAGTCATTCAGGGACAGAGTCACTTAGTCCTTTCCCAGCTTTGCTGGACTGGACCTCAAAAATCCATTTGTTTTTGCTGGCATGGGATGACAATGATGATTGAATTTGGAATGAGTGTCACTAAGTACTCCCAAGAGGCACTTGACACCCTCTACAGGAATGTCAGCAGCCAGTATTAAAAATCAATTAGCATTTTCACGGCACAACCTTTGCTATACAATGTACAATGACCTTTATAGTTCAGAAAAGAGTCAGTTTAATGTACTTACTGTATAATGCCAGGTGGTAATGTCTTCCCTCACTTAGGTGGCTCATTATTAAACTCAATTATCTCAGCTACCAATTGACCTTTATCCATCTCCCACTATTTAGTGAATGGAAGTTGGTAAAAGCTAACAGGGTAGAGACATCATGTTATGACAATGTCTTCCTACAAGTGGGACTGAGGCATTTCTGATATCCAGTGGTATCAAGAAAATTTTGTATTCTTCCAGATAAAGGAGAACTTGTTGAGATGCAACCAGGTTACTTTTGTGTCCTCTGTGTACATTTTTCTTTCCACTTTCACTGTCGTGCTTAGTTGGAGGTGTTCAGTAGATAAATATTTTCCATTTAACAAGAGTAGGAAGAGACATTTATCATACCCACCTGGTGGTCCAGTAAACAGGGAGGGAATTTACCCTGCTTATTCACCTTTGGAGGCTTTATTTGAAGTGCATCCAGTAGCTGATACTATGCAGAGCCACAGTGCAAGAAATGGCCCTTGCAGTAGTTGTTTATCTCCTTGCTGATGCAGTAGCTTCCCATGATCCCGATATTTGCTAGCCCTGGAGGTCTGACAAAAAATGTTCTGAGGTCAGTAGTAAAATGAAGTATCACAGTGCAGTCTCCTCTCATGTGCGACTAGATTACTTCATCTCACCCTATTTTTAAATCCATGCCAGGAGAATACTAGTTGAAATTTCTAAAACACATATAATTTTTCAATCTCTTCAGTTCAATCTGAGGATAAAATTATCATTTACAATTGCATTTTCATTGGGAAAGCTTGAATTTTACCATGCCCCAGCAAGTATGTGGCACATTTGCTCATCCTAAGACTTCTTGACAAAGTGTTTCTATTTCTTGTAAGTGTTCCTCACATCACTCTGTCCAGGATACCAGAGTTTGAAATTTGGTTTAAATTAAAGCTGATTTGGGCTCTCCCTGTGGAACAGGCTGTGGTTAACTCTTCACTCCAGTAAAGCAAACATAGCATTTAAAGGGTATGTTTTAAAAATGAAACAGCACAATTTTGTAAATAATTGAGTATTTTGCTTCTTTGGTTCTTCACCATGTTTCCTTTCTATTGAAATACTCTGGAAGCAAGGGAAGGGCAGTTTTATCATGCCCTATTTCTATGGATTCATCTGTTCTTCTTTTGTTGATTTTTACTCTGCTCACAATTTGTCGATTCCTAATATTTTTTCCCCTATTTCAATTGTCATCTGGAGCTCTCATTTGGCAAAGCTTTCCTTAAGATGTTTTCATTTCCTCTCCAGGCTCCAAAGATGCCAGCATATGGCCATGAAACACCATCACTGAATTACTGTCTCTTTTCATGGTAATTAGTTTAGACTTTTGGACTACATCTATCCTGGTTAATTGAATGGCACCAGGGAACATTCCCAGCAATGGGAATTTGATTGACTGTCCTATTAAATTGTTCCTGCTATGAGTTTGGCCCCATCCAGCTGGCATTCTCCCAAATGCATCCTGGACACAGCTGGGGAGTCAGTACTGACCCAGGACCATTCCCAGAAACCAGTTTGGATGCCCATCCTGTTTCCAAGGCTGGGACAGTTTAACAGTACAGATAGAGGCAAATCTGTGCCAAAGAATGATCCCAGACACATGTAGCATAATTATCCAGCCATATTGTGACCCAAAAGCAGGTTTGGATTCCCCCTTTTCCTCTTTATCTGGAAAGAATCACAATTACTGACTTAAAAAAAAACCCAAAAAACAACAAAAAAAAACCCAAAAAACAACAACTATGTATTCTTTAAACATGTATAACATAAATCTTGGGAACTGCTATAATTTTCTGTGACAGCTGAATTGGTGCTGTTCATTTCAGTCATTGATTGTACAAATAGATGCACATATTGCATCTGTGTATGGGACCTGCTCCACTGATGAATGAGGACAAAGCAATGAAAGGGCTCCACTGCCCAGGAACTTGGCTTGTTGCAGCAATGAGGTGTTATGTAATGGATAAGTAAGAGAATATGGGGATGGAAATGAGGATTTCTTGCTAATCATGGCTGAGTACTGAACTGAAAACTAGATACTATCCATCCACGCAGTGCAGAGGTCCCAACAAATGCTCCACGAGAGACTTAGAGTCATTTTAGCCCAAGGTGGAAACTTTTATTTATGACACCTCGGAAAAGTGGCCATTGTCTCTATCTGCTGGTTGTAGACAAATTCAGAATGGGCTACAAAGAGGCAACCATGACTAATTGTCTTCCTTAATCAAAAAGTGTGAGGGAAAAAGAAGCAGGAATTATGTCTTTGTGAAACAATCATATATGGGTGTATCTAGGTTGATTTGTTGGGGTGTTCAAGTTGATTGGGGATTTTCTAACTAATCAGATGGCAGATGTTTTCATGCCAAGTTGTGGTGGCCTGACAGAAAATTTGCAGCAAAACCTATAATTTTACATCAGAATTAGCAAGATCCTGCAAATAATTTTCTTTTCATGGAATGTGCAGTTTTCTTTTACATCACATGAGGAGAAATTCTTTTATCATTAAAATGGAACAAAAAAAGTTTTTCAATTCAACCCGCTATTAATATTAAAACATTGTAAAATCAACCCTGTGCTCCAGAGATGTACAATTCAGTGTCCCCAGAATGTAATATCAAGGATAGCAGGTATTATTGATTAATTTCATTATACAGGGTACAGTATTCACTTTGGAGAGCCACTCAATACTAGTTATCAAAATGTATGCAGAGGACAGGGAAAGGTTATGAAGCTGCTGGAGAACAGAGCTAACAAAGTGAACTCTCAGCTGTGAGTCCTGTGCATGACTTAGTACTGCTAATAGTGGGAGTATGTGCATATTAGAAGCCCTATTGATCATCAGGAGCTACATTTCAAGTCAGAAATAACAAAGGTAGTAAGACAAACACAGAAAATAATAGCCCATTAATCTGGGTAACAGAAGCAAACTGTGAAGTTTGGAAGTCATTGGTAGAACAGTTTTATTCTACTCAGGTAGTAGGTAAAGAGTAGAGGACAAGGAAAATTGGTATTTTTCTTCTATGTCTGAGATTGGTACTGCAACAGGTACAACTGCAAAGCCACATATTTACTCTTTAATGCTATTATTATTGCTCCCAGTGTCCTTAACATCTCTACATATATAGGTTTGTTTTCACCAACTGGCAGTAGCTTCTCCTAAAAGCAATTTACTATCTGGAGGGCAAATATAAGGGTCCTTTCACTGACACAAAAATGCTCTAAAACCACAGGCCATTTGATTAATCATTCTCTGCTTTTACCTCCTTTCCTTTGCATTAGAAACATTTATCTGTAATGGCTACTTACCTCATCTTGTTCCAACTGATCTTCCCACTACAGCTGCAAGATCTAATGCTTTATGAAAATACAAATGAATAATAGCTCTTACATACCAAATAAGAATTTAAGATTAACTTCCACTTAGGTAGAAACCAAACCCCTCCTTTAACAAACAACAAATAAATAAGCAACAAAAAACACCCCTTCCCTAAAAATCTTATTGTCAGTTCTTAATTTTAAAGTTTCACACTTTTGAAACTGCACAGAAAAATCAGACTATCTGGAAGCTTTTTTTTATACATGATAATTTTAAATCTAAACTATAGCAATTTCACTCACTTTACATGGCCGTTTCCAGTTATTTGAGGTGACAGGGACAGTGAGGGAAGTGAACTGTGTCACCTGCCTGATGAATGTGTTGGACACCATTCAAATTTCCTCTTGCCAGCTGAAATGAGGATCCCCTCCTCTCCCCATATGGATGTGGTCAGCCAGCCACCTGCAGCTGGGGACTGTTACACCACCCAGTCACACCAACCTGCACTGCCCCTGAAGACTTACAGTTCCATTTTTTATTGCTAAAGGGGACAGTTAAGGAAAGATGGCCTAGAAAATGGAAATCAGCACACTGAGCTCTGTAGCCACCTGTGTCTGACAGGCTTGCAGGTTTATTTAGCTGGTGGAAACACATGATTCACTGGATTACAGTGAGAAGATGGAAACTTGAACCCACCTGAATCCTGTAAAATTACTTTTCCTTATGATGTGGCAGCTTTGTCATCTTTTACTGTGACTTACGGGAGATAACAAACACCCTCTACAGGGAGGCTACTCTAACTCTGCTATTGATTTTTGCCAGTCCGGTGTGCTTGTTTAACAAGAAAAATGTTGCTCAAAACTGAGTCTGATAATCTTAAATATGTTATTTACTTTTTGAAAGGTGAGCTGGATTATGATTAATATGGTAAATAGCTCAAACCTAATAGAGTCAATGCTTCTTTATATCTCACAGTGGTCCAGTCCTGGTGCAGAGAAGAAAGTAAGAGTCAAGTCTGAATTAAACACTCCCAGCTTTCATGTTTGTGGTTTTGATTTATTTATTGATATCTATGTAGGGGCCTCCATTCAATCACAGGAGTTAATGTCATCCTGCTACATAGCTGGAGATGAAAAACTCAGCTATCTGCCAGGTACAACCTCCTTTCACACTTCCCCTGCCCTTTTCTGGGGTCAGTCAGCACTGGAACCTTCCCTTTTGATGATCAGCTGAGAAACTTGGTACACGTTTTCCTGTGAGTGTATCAGACACACCTTTTACAGAGAATACCTGGCAATTCCTGTCTCTTGTTTGTACTGTGACAGGCACCTCCTGGCACCAGCATAGCCCAGGAGGAAGGGCACAGGTTACCCACACCAACCTATACTGATCCCTTTCCCTCTCTCCATTCCATCTCTGCCCTTTTTAACTGAAATCACATCCCACCCATGCACCAAGACCCTCAGCAACTCCCGTAGGATGGGACCAGGCCCTGTCAAATACCTGTTACATCCCTCCACTGGAAATGGGGGTTGTTTACCATGAGACTGCAGAAGATGCAGATTCTCCTTTCAGGGGAGGCAGGATGGATCCCAGCCTGGCAGTGCTGCCCTTCCTTGCTGGCTCTCAGAAGGGTCTCTAAGGCCCCTCTCAGCCATGAACCTATCATAGGAGGCTTTGGTGGTGTCTTTCCTGTGCAATACACAGCAACAGGAGTTCTCCTTGCTATTGATTAGCTGCAGCTCAATATAAAAATGTTTTAGGCAGCAGAGCTTTACTGGAACCGCAGTGGCTCCTGGTGCTGCTGACTCCCAAAGACAGAGCACCGCTCATTACACTCTTCCTGAGCTCATCTTCCTTTCTCTTGAGATCACTGTGTACATTTGTCATGTTGTGCAGGACCCTACAGACACCAGTGCTTGCTTTGATTTTCCTCTTGGCATCCCAGCTGGGCACTGATAAGTTACCTTGTCATGCTGAACAACCACTTTGTTTTGATTCTTTTTTTTTTTGTACAGTGATTCGATATTTCCCAACATCTTACATTGGAACTGGAGCTGGGCCTAAATGGATGGAAAAAAGCCCCTGTTGGTAAAACTTTCTTGTTAAAATGTAAAAATAAATAAAAATAAGGTATTGCATAAGACTTTATGTGTTAATTCTCATAATGGAATTTATCCACAATGTGGTGTGGTTTACAATTACCATTTTAAACTAGTGGTAACTTTTTTAAACTGTCAAAATGTAGGAAGTTACCTACCAACTTTAATAAACCATCTGCTCAGAATAGCAAAATTTCTACTGTGTTCAAAGTAGGATTGGAAAGAAACTCAGTCAGTCTAAAAGACCAATCAGTATTATTTTTTCTTACTGATGCTGGGAGGAAATTGTGATGTGTTTTGTGAATTTGTACCAGGAATGTTGACTCTTCAGTCAGGATTCATTCTGCATAAGGAAACAAGCACAATTAAGTTAGTAAGACATCAGTGACACTGTGTTGAAGTCATGAAGAATAATGAAAACCTTGAATAAGTCATGATTGCTGGTCAACCTTCCCAGAAAACTCTGATTAAAAACATCAACTGCAGGGGGGGTTTTGTGTGCTTCAGTTAGCTCACTTTTCTGCTTTAAAAGGAATAAAATATACATCAGGAAGGAACCAATACAAAAATGAAATTGAGTATGGGTTTAGTAAGTGCGGGTGTGACCAGTGAAATGTATGTGGTGAAACATCTGCTCTGGCTCTCATGTCAACATTATTGTTGTCTATGGATGGAGAATCCATACCATGCCCCCTCCATATGGATTATTTGGTGCCTAAATTATAGCTGAAGTGGATGTTCCTTGGGGATAACACTAACTTGTGTCTTCCTTTATGAATTTCATCACAGAATGAAATAATCTGGTAATTTAAATTTATATTACTTCCACTAATAGAAAGATTTGATCCACTTCCCTACTCTGTCTTTTCTTGCCTCAGTGCCTCTCCCATCTTGCAAGTATTTACCTATTTACCTTGACATATCTGCTTCTTTATCTCATATATCTTCAAAGAAAAAAAGGAAAAGAAAAATAAAATATAAGCAAACTTGAAAAAAAAGTTATTTTCCTTCTCAATTTCTGCTCCTTGTCCATCTCCTGCTCTTATTAATGTTGTTGCCTAAAATCATAATCTGAAATTATTTGCTATGGATAATCCCATAGTTCTGTTGAACTTTCAGTTCCCTAGCAGTGTTCAAATTTAAGTCTCACTCTTTCCCAGATTAAAGGCTTTTGTAGCCATTCTGACATTCCTGCCCAGATTTTGATCAGATCTTTTTTTCATAAGCAAGGAAGTTGCCTGTCACCCCGCCCTGTACAAGCTGACCTTCCTTTTCTCTGTGTAAGTCACTGCTGTCAGGAGTCATCTCCCAGACTACTGAGCCCACATCATCCCACCATGACATCCTTCTGTGCTTCCCTCAGGATTCTCTTTTCTGATTACAAGAAAACCAAAACAAAGCACCTATTTGCCTGAACTGAACCAAATGAACTGACCTGAACCATTTCCCCAGCCTCTTTCAATCAGTATCACAATGTCAGCGCCTGCCTCTGCTCCACCCACGATCTGCCAGCTCCCACTAGTTGCCCTCTCCCTTAATGCCATTTGTTTCCCATGACAAATGGAAACATTCATGTCCTCATCCTCCTTAAATACCCTCATAGTCCATCCTCATCATGAGATCTACAAAGAATTTAACATTATGCAGGTAGCCTCTATGCAACCTGGATTTTTACCTTTGTTTTCTCAGTTTTCCCACTTCTACCCAGGTGTTCAATTTTTACTTCACTGGAAGCAGTTTTGGGGTAGAGCCTTCATTGGCTGCCTGCTTGGAAAGCAGTCTTGACTTCTCAGTGTGAGAATTTTTTCCCCAAGCATTCCAAGTGTAACTTGATGGGTTTTTGCATTTTATATTTTACAATGTTTTGCTGTATGATTTTAATCTCAGAACACTTAGCTTCAAACTGGATAGACTATAAAACTTACAGTCACCCAAAAGACTGTTCTAGATGTGTGACAGAAGCAGCTCCACATTCATGTTTCTCTTGGACTCTTCCTCAAGCTCGGTGGTGCTTTCCCATAACTCCTACCTTTGTGAGAAACTGCCCTGCCAAGACTCACAGCCTTTTTCTTTGTACCTTCATTCTTTTTGTTATCAGATCCATTCAGCCAGTGCCTTTTCTTCTTATCCCTCCCTCTCTGCTTGAATGACTCATCTGTTGTATTCCTTCTGGCATTTAACTTCAGAGTTGTCTGGGCAGGGACTCTGTTGCTGTGATTTAACTTTATAGCATCCAGTCCTAAGGGACTCAGATCCCCAGTGATGGTCTTACAGCACTCCTGACTTCCCAGTGATTCTGTCTCCTACAACAGGCTGCTCAAGAAGTACCTGAAAATATTTTAAAAATATTGCACAATGACATATCCCAAAATAACCTGATTTTAGGCCAAATCTTTGTTTTTACTGTACACTTTCTTGTTGAACAGTTCAAGTTAAGGACAAAGTGTCAGCCTAAATTTACCATCTTTGGTTGTCTCCTGCCACAGTCTTCATCTTATTTTACTGCAGCTTACTTAGACATGCAAAAAATAAAGGTCATTTTCTTCTACGAAAAAGAATTTGTATTTCTTTATTTTTAAGAATGACCTTATTGCTACTGAAAAAACAGAGAGACAGGCAGTAGAGGAGTCTGGAATAGTTTATTCCAGAGTTTATCAAGCATGGTGAGTGTGCTGGTGACAGCACTCAAGCAAATGCAAAAGGGAAAAGGCAGCTGCACCTGGGGGCTTCTTCAGAGATGTGTCAGAGCTGAGGGTGTGTGTGCCTCTGTCTAAGGACCTGCTTGGTCCTTAACGTTCATAAGGCACAGATTGGTGATGCATGTGCAGATGGAGAAAGCCTTGGGTTAGGAGTGATGACTGCATGATGTTCATGGAGACACAGCTTGGTGGGAGGCTTGGACAAGGGCATGGAGTTTTTCTTTAAGGAAACGGCATGAAGGTACAGAAATGGGGGTTTGACTCAACTTACATGTGTGAATTGTCCAGAACAGAGCTCAGAATGGACCTACAGCTGTGCTGGTATCCTGACAAGCCAGTGCTGGGAAGCCCTTCTTTAGATGCAATGTTTTATCAGACTACACCACAAACTGACTGGAAAGTTTGAGGTGATTTATCCCCCAGCTTTTGTGTGCTGTTTTCACCAAGGTCCTGTTCTCTACCTTGCCCAAGAGATGATGCTGATATACAAGAATTTAGGGGATGGCTGCTATCTGCCCCTGTACCATGCAGGTGGCATTACATTAATTCTAGGAAGGTAAACAAGGAGAGGGGGAGCTGTCACTGGGGAATTGTAAGGCAATCTGGAGTGAAAGCTGCTTCTCACTCCTGCAGGAAGTAGTTCTTCAGAAGTGCCAGGAGAATTTAAATAAGAGTGAGACAGTACAGCTAAAATATTTAATACTAGAGAACTTTTAAAGTTAAAAATAAGAGAAAAGGTGTATTGAAAGAAATGACATGAAGGAACACAAAAAGACAGCTATTTTTAAATATCCTTAGGAGTATGAGAGACAGTGAGTTTCATATCATTTTGGTTTTCAGTGTCAAAACCAAAATGGAATGAAATAACTGTGCAATGTTAGGAATTACCTCTTCCATCTTAAGTTTTATTGTCTTTGAAAGCCTTTTCTAAATAGCATTTTTGAGATTATAGTCTTTCCTCCCTCTAATCAGAGTTACATGTAAAAGTTTCTTCTGCAATTGTTCCTTTAAGGCTCAGCACTGTATCTGTGTATCCTGTAATGACTGGGTCATTGTGTAATATCTGAAACTTATTGATATCAAAGTAAACCAAAGGGTGGGTTAGAGAAATTTACATCAAGGTTTTCACATCCTCGAGTCACCATCTGTGTGCTTGGTGACAATGTCAATGATTGAACCAGAAATGTGTGACTTGCCATTTAATACCTTCATTACTGGCAGGGAAATTTCCTCTTTGTCTTTAGGGATTAACCAGAATAATAGAATTACTATAATAGGATGAATCTTTACAACACACAGTAAGGAGCTGTTTCCCAAGTTATAATTTTCATGAGTGGAAAATAGAAGTAATAATAATAATAATAATAATAAT